CTATGGTGGAAGGGGGCACCGCACACGGCTAAGAATATGATCACGTGGATCAACTTGTGTCCTTAGGGGTGCCCCTTGCCTACGTATATAAAGGTTCAAAAGGGGGGGGCGGCCGGCCAAGAGGAGGCGTGCCAGGAGGAGTCCTACTCCCTCCGGGAGTAGGACTCCCCCCCTTTCCTAGTTGGAATAGGATTCGCGGAGCGGGGGAAAGAGGAGAGAGAGGAGGAAGGGGGGCCGGCCCCCTCTCCTTGTCCTATTCGGACCAAGGGGGGAGGGGCGCGTGGCCCATCTCTGGCCACCTCTCCTATCTTCCACTAAGGCCCACTAAGGCCCATATACCTCCCGGGGGGGTTCCGATAACCTCCCGGTAATCCGGTAAAATCCCGATTTCACCCGGAACACTTCCAATATCCAAACATAGGCTTCCAATATATCAATCTTTATGTCTCGACCATTTCGAGACTCCTCGTCATGTCCGTGATCACATCCGGGACTCTGAACAACCTTCGGTACATCAAAACGCATAAACTCATAATATAACTGTCATCGAAACCTTAAGCGTGCGGACCCTACGGGTTCGAGAATAATGTAGACATGACCGAGACACGTATCCGGTCAATAACCAATAGCGGGACCTGGATGCCCATATTGGTTCCTACATATTCTACGAAGATCTTTTATCGGTCAGACCGCATAACAACATACGTTGTTCCCTTTGTCATCGGTATGTTACTTGCCCGAGATTCGATCGTCGGTATCCTATACCTAGTTCAATCTTGTTACCGGCAAGTCTCTTTACTCGTTCTGTAATACATCATCCCGCAAATAACTCATTAGTTGCAATGCTTGCAAGGCTTAAGTGATGTGCATTACCGAGAGGGCCCAGAGATACCTCTCCGACAATCGGAGTGACAAATCCTAATCTCGAAATACGCCAACCCAACATGTACCTTTGGAGACACCTGTAGAGCTCCTTTATAATCACCTAGTTACGTTGTGACGTTTGGTAGCACACAAAGTGTTCCTCTGGCAAACGGGAGTTGCATAATCTCATAGTCATAGGAACATGTATAAGTCATGAAGAAAGCAATAGCAACATACTAAACGATCGGGTGCTAAGCTAATGGAATGGGTCATGTCAATCAGATCATTCAACTAATGATGTGATCCCGTTAATCAAATAACAACTCTTTGTCCATGGTTAGGAAACATAACCATCTTTGATTAACGAGCTAGTCAAGTAGAGGCATATTAGTGACACTCTGTTTGTCTATGTATTCACACATGTATTATGTTTCCGGTTAATACAATTCTAGCATGAATAATAAACTTTTATCATGATATAAGGAAATAAATAATAACTTTGTTATTGCCTCTAGGGCATATTTCCTTCAACTAGTGGGTTTCATCTATTTACTGTGGCAATGACAGGTCATGCAAAGGAAAGGGGCTCAACTACCGCAGCATGTAACAGTTGAATCGTTGTTGTCCTAATGCAGTAAAAGAGAGCAGGAGCAAGAGAGTGGGATTGTATCGGAATGAACAAGGGGGTTTTGCTTGCCTGGCAATTCTGAAGATAGTATAGTTCTTCATCGGTGTCATCGATCTCATTGTCGGAACATCGTCTACTGAGAGGGGACAATTATCGGCAAACAAGGAAGACCACAATCAATGCGATACACAATATGATGCATGATCATGACATGGCAATATGCTATGATTTGATCTAATGCAACTAGCAGTGATTTAAATGAAGTTGGTTTGAACGAAAGGTTCAAATTCAAACTCCATATGTGATTATTTAAATGCCAACATTTGATTTGACCTGATCAGCAGGCATAAGTTGCTCAAACATGCATGGGGATAGCATGAATGGATAGATTGGGTTTTTCTGATAATTTTTCATATATAATTTATTTAATTCTGAGCTATGGATGATTTTCTATGATTTTTCAAAGTTTAAAGCATTTTCTGGAATTTCTAAACCTTTCCTGATTTATTTCAATTCCAGAAAGACTTTACTGCGTTAGCACTGCGTCATCATGACGTCAGCAGGTCAACAGTGCGCGGTCCAGGTCAAACCTGACCTGTGGGTCCCGTGTGTCAGTGTCATAACTAACTTAACATAGTTAGTAAGTGTTAGGTTAGGCACTAATCTAGGTTAATTAGCGCTAAACTAATCTAACTAATATTTAATAGGGGCGGCCCACACGTCAATGGGTCAGGGGGGAAGTCAAACCCCGGTCAAGCGGGGTCAAACCTGCCGGACTTGGTCCACGGCTCGTCGCCGGTGAAGCCCGAGACGACGGGGGGCTCGGAATTTGCCCACGGTCGACCAAATCGACCGCGGTTTGGTCCTACGCGTAGCTGGGGCTCCCGTGCATCTGGTAGGCCAAGCGGGAGGAGCTGCGGTGGTCTGAGTCGATGGCGGCGAGCACGAATGCGGCGGCCAGAGTCCGGCGTCAGCGGGTTAGGCGCTACGGCGCACGGAAGGAGGATCTGGTGGGTGTTCTCGGCTCCTGGGAGTGTGCTGAGGACGATAGCGTCCTCGGATGCGACGTGTGTGGGCTCTCGCCACGGCAGTGACATGGATGGCGGCGAGCAAGCTTTCGGTCATGGCGGGGCTATGGCCTAGAGGGCGAGCACGACCAGGGGAGAAGGGGGAGACGACGCGGGTGCTCACAGCGCGTCCGACGGCGTCGTCAGTGAGGTCGGCCGCGGTCGGGTTGCTGCGAATCGACGGCGACGACTGTCGGTGCAGAGGACGAAGACAACGGCGATGGCGGCGCTGTGGGGCGCTCCGGCGTCGTTTGGCTCGGCGGAGACGAAGAAGAGGTCGGGGCAGAGCTCTTGGGGACGGCAGAGGGGCAAGGGGGTGGTTGTGGCCGCATGGCAGCGAACGGCGGCGACGAGCGCGTCGGCCATGGCGTGAAGAGAGCGAGGGGGCGAGGGGGAAAACTGAGAGAGGGGTCTGTGGGTTCCAGAGGCCACGGGGTGACGATCCCAGCGTCGCGTTGGCCAGGGAGGGGCCAGGCAGGCAGCTGCGTGCCCGCGCGCGCGAGCGCCGTGCACTGCTTCCCCTCTGCCTTCTGGCGAGAGGAGGAAGACAACTGGCAGGGGAGGTGGCCGGGCTGGGCCGGCTTCAGCAGCAGGCCGCACTGGTAGGCGCCGGGTAGGTTCTCTCTCTCTCTCTCTCTGGTTTTTCTATTTATTTCTATTTTCTATTATTCCATAACTTTAGGGCTTTATTAATAATACTAAAACAACCTCAAAATTCATGAAACTGCTCAAGGCTACTGTTTGGAATAATTCCAACAGTAAACATTTTAGTTCATGAATATTTGAACATTTAAAATATTATATAGCACTTAAATGCCCAAATGCAAATAGCATATGATTTAATTCAGTGACCCTCTGTTGTCCTAGAAAAGTGTACACCATTTTTGTCAGAGGTTCTAGACCAAGGCAAAGATGATGAACATTTTATAAGGGCATTTCAGGTTCATTGAAAATAATTTTAGTAAACCCTGGTTGGTTTCAGGGGGGTGCTGGGGTTTCTGTAATCCCCATTTCAAGTTTCTAAGAAATTTAAACATGATGCACACATGAAGGGCTAGCCTAGGACATACCAGAACTAGGGATGTGACATGTAGATGTGCTTGTGTATCCATAGGAGATGCATACATTTGAACCCCAAACAAACTTTCTTCTTCTTTTTCTTGTTTCTCAGGTTGATCTCCAGGACATGGAGGTGATGAAAAAGAAGATAGAGAAGAGCTTAGAATAGGTGTAGTCTAGATTTTGGTTTAGTTTTTTTCTTTTTATATTCATTTAATATAATGTAAATATTTGAGAATTTTGTACCTTGTATAATTATTAATAAAGCTTATGGTTTCATAACAGACTGTAAGTCTTGTATAATTACTCTGTATTATCCATTTTTAATTCACTTTGAATTATTTACTTATCATGATAAAGTTGGAATCTTCGGCCATCCGGTGTTGCCGTCGGCATAGATGACCACCAAGAGGACCCCAGGCGGCGACACGTGGCATAGCTATGCCGACAGCAAACCGGCACGTGTGTGGATGACGTTTGACGGCCGTGTCATCTACTTTTTCGCCGATGGCTCGAGAAGACCGTCGGCATATGTTTCTATGTCTACGGCTTTTGTACACCGACGGCCATCCAGGCTTTACTGAGGGAATCAAAGACGACGGCTGTATGCCGACGGTTTTGAGGCCTTCGCCGACAGTTTTGGGGCCTTTGCTGATGGCTTTGGCCGTTGGCATACACACCGTTTCCTGTGGTGCTGGCACACTGCAAGTAAGTCCTCGCTTGGTGGTGACCGTCGTTCTATTCCTGCATTGCCCCCTAGGAAGATTTCTCCCAAAATCAGAGAGAGTAATGAAGCAGAGACATTGTTGGGTGGTGATGCACACAAAAATAGTGTTATCCTGCCATCGTTATCCACTCCTTTGAAGTGTGATGGTTGTGGTCAGGGTCACCCTGTGGCAAATTGTCCTGACAAGAAACCCTGGGAGTTTACTCCTGAATTCATGATTACTTTGGGTCTAATGAATTTGGTCAGGGCTTTTTCTCCATCCGTGAGGTCTGTTCTGAAGCAAAGAGCTAGATGTATAAGCATTTGAGCCTTTAACAGATAAAATCCATATGATGTGATTATGTATAACTATGTCCTTTTCAGAATCAGTGATTCGAGAGTTTAACATCCAACTGCTCAAACAAACGAGATATATATACAAAACCACATTATTGAGTTCTATTACAGTGCCATTGAGCATCTCCGGGCCCTGACTGACTAAATTCTGGAGCTGGGACATCCATATATTGCCCTACACCAAGAATTCTTAACATCCTGAACTACTAATTAATTTCTGTACAATGACTTATTCCCACCTCATCCAGCGGGACAAGAATTTACACCCGACCCAACGTGTGTATTCACAGAACCAACCAAAGTAAAACTAAATTCACATTCAGGCGATCGCTTTGTACCACGGGCCATGGACCTTCTCCGAGACCGTGGCCACCCTGATGAGCACTTCAGCCGCCTTCACCACCCGGTCGGCGAGCTTCCCCGCGCCGACGCGGCGTAGGGCTGCATCCGCCAGCTTCTGGCCCTTGGCACCGCTGCCGCCAAGGAGGACCCCGCGGAAGGCGCAGTGGACCGCCCGGGAGACCTTCTTGAAGACGACGTCGTCCGCTTGGAGGCTCTTCAGGAGCACCCGGGTTACTATCTGCCTCCTTGCCTGAATCTTGGCGTCCGTCAAAGAGCCGGCTGACGCCGACGCGCTCATCATCGCCTCCACGATCTCTTCAGTTCCTGCCTCCGGGGAGTTGTCCAACAACTTCACCAGGGCGCCGAAGAGTTCTGAGATGACAGTCTCCAGCTCCGGAGGAGTGATCTTAGAATTCTCACTCATCAGGACTTGACGCAGGACGAGCATGCTGCACAAACAGTAAGTTCAGTTAGCACACATTCAAGTTTTAATCCTGCAGACTAGACTAAAATAACATGAGTATAAGATAGTAGTTTACCTCGTAGACATCACAATCACTTCTTGAAATTGGCCCTGCACGGCCCTCAATCTCAGAAAGTTGAGATGGAAGCTCTCAGGAGTTGACTGCAATTGTAATCCCTCCATACCACTAATAAGCTGCAACAGGCCAACCCTCACAAGCTTGTCAATCTTTTCTCCCTTGCATTCAGGTAAACCTGAACTACCTGCTGAAGCTACAGCAGCTGCTGGAGCTCCATGGCCAGCTCGGAGCACTGTAACAAGGGGCTGAGCCTGCCACAAAGGATTAAACTAGTGTCAGGAACCAGATAACAAATAGAACGCCCCTATGCTGCTGATGTTGTTAGAAACTTACATGATTTGCTGCTGGAAGAACTGAAAGAGAGCCCAGATGTTCGCTCCATTCTGCGTCCACGATGCTCTTTGATGCTGAAATCCACTGCAGAGTTACAGGGAGAGAAGCTGACGCATTGGCAGGAGGTCCATAGCGATCGCCGAAAGCCTTCTGCAGGTACTCCACTCCAGCAGAGCCTTTTATCGTCGGTTGCATCAGCTGAACATATGCCTTGCTCACTTCTACTTGCAGTTGCTGTATATAACAGAAAAATGTTAGAATTCCACTGCATAAAAACAACTGCAGTTAATTATAGGACAAGTTTAATGTATTAACACACTCAACACACCTTTATTTCTTCCAGAGTGAAACGCAGGCCCTTGATAACAGCAATGACGAACGAGCTGACTCCATTATCATTATCTTCAGAACTTGCAGCCAACTCGCTCAATAATTTGTCATGACTTGCCTTCATCTCATCATCCTTTGCCGCAGCAGACAGCTTTCTGACCATATCCAGAGAGTACTGCAAAATCTGCCCCAGATATTGGGTGTCCTGGGAGCCTGACTTGAGTACCTTCATTTGTACAGGAACAAAATTATGTCAATGTTCCATGAATAAGAAAAAAAAATAAGGAACACGATGACAAACTTATATATGCAAAACACTCGGATCTTACCTGGGATAGAATTTCGAGGTCAATGTTCTCACAGATTTCCTCCTTCCATTCCTTGGGAGCCAAGTCGTGCAATGAATCCCTCACTTCCTTTACCAGGTTGATCAGTTGGCTGTAGTCAGGTTTGTCTCCTCTCATCGAGTCGGTAACCACATCCCAGAAAGCTTTCTCCATTGTTTCCCTCACTTTGTCTTGGAAACCCTTCTCAATGGTACGAGCATCATTAGAATTGCCAGCAATCGCACCACCGTCCTCATGAAGCATCTCATTGACCATCTGCTCATTCTCTGTTGGCAGATTCACTGGTGATGTGCTGCTTGATGCTCCAGAAGCTCCAAACAGGGATCGCACAACAGACCTTGATCCTTCAGCATCTGTTTTGGAATTCATATTGACCTCAGTAGGCGGGAGCTTTCCAGATGAATCAATGCTCAGAGGGGTAGATACGTTTGCAACAGGTGCTGCCAATGGACTTCCATTCTCCTTCGCTTCAAAGAACTTTGATCTTGCATCGGAGAGAGCAGAGTCCATACGCTCGATGCCTGCATCACCGCTCAAATGCTGAACCTTCTCTCTTAGGAGTTTTTGATCGTCAGAAACCTGCTTCTGAATCGCCTTCATATCATGGGTGAGGTTGTGTGACTGCCCGTCGGCAGCTAACTTGCATGTTTGCATCATTGACAGCTCAAGCTTGCATGCAGCCCTAACAAGATCACCCTCCAATGATCTTGCATCTTTTACTTTCCACACCACAAATCCGTAAAGATAGGTGCACCACGCTTTGTCAAAATTAACCAACTGAGTCTTGAATTTACTTTGACTGGCAACATCATAAGACTTCTGGCAACTAGATGATTCAGCAGCATCAAGAGATGGCTGCCTTGAGGCTCTTCCTGGCCCCTCGAGTATTGTCTTAACTAACAGCTCAAACTCCCTGACAAAGTTTGCTGCTGACTCCATGAGTAGCTTCTCTTGCTCACCATCTCCACTTAAAACAGCACTAGGATGAGCCAGGATCATGTAAGCACAGAGTACCACCCTCAGTGAATATCTAGACAACCTGCTTGTTTCAGAAGTTCTTGCTGGCCTTTTTGCTGCAACCCTTGTTCTTCCGTCTCTACTCGGAGGTGCCTTCCTCTTTGGAGTCGCAAGGCGTTTCAGTAGATGGTCAATATTTTCTGCAGATGATGAACTTGCTGACTGACAAAGAGTCAAACGCCTCTCGAACCGGTCAAGTAATGCCTTAGTAGCCTCAAGAGCTGTGGGAGATCCCATCAACATAGCTAATTCCTCAAATGGCATTGACTTCACAGATTTTTCATTAATTCCCAAAGCATCATAAGCTTGAGCTAAGGCAAGTGTTGTCTTCCTGGACTTCACAAAACTTCTCCAGCACCTACAATATACGAGAAGAAAACTTCAATTAACTCGAACATACAAATACAATCAAATGGTTAGAATTCAAAGGAAAATTTAATGTATGAGAGTAATACCTTGCAAGCTTTCTTGAAAGAAAATCTGCATGCTTGATGTAATCGGCATGAGCAGAACTGCACGGACTTCCTCGCTGCTTCAAATATTCAGCTCTCTTCCTCTTGGCCTGTTCAATAAGATAACAAATCAGATAAGAAGCAGAACAGGAGAACTAAAATTGTAATCAGCGTATGTATCACAACACATACCCTCTGAAGTTTGCTATCCAGATGTTCTTTCAATTTAATCCTGTCTGCTTCTCTCTGGCTGCTTACAGTCATGGCTGCTTGTTGAATATGCATGAGCCGAGCACGAGCCTTCCTCCTCTCAGCTTCTAACAACGCCAACCGTTTCTTCTCAGCAGCAGCACGCTTTGCCAGGATAGCAGATCGCACCCGCTCTGTATACTTGCTCTCAGATGTCGCCTTCTGCACGAGAGACCTCTCTGTTCTCTCCTTCAGTGCGGCCCGCTTCTGCATATCTGCATGCAGAAGGCGCATACGGTTTTCCTCTGCCTGTCGGACACGAGACTCGACTCTAGTCTCAAGTTCCTCCTTCTCCTTCTCAAACCGCATTTCCACATCATTCTTCGCTGCTTGTCGGAGTTCATCCAACTTGGCTAACCGGTTCTGTGCCTTTGCCAAGAGGCTTAACCTTTTCTGCTCAGCTGCCTGAAGCCTGGCTTCAAGGCGCTGTCCGTAATCTTCCTCTTGAGACGACCACGATGGGCTCCGTGGCTTCTTCCTTGCTTTGCAGGATAACCAATCGCGGAATTGCTGCAGAGAAACAATTGAAAATAAGTTAATTTGATCAAGCATGTATCGCTAATTCACTTCAAACTTACTTTTTAACCAAAAGAACACATAATTATTTAGTTGTTTCTACAGCTCCTGCCAGGATTACATCAACCAACAGAACTACAGAAGTTGCAACTAAAATTTCAGCGGTACAAGTTACTTCTAAGCAAAACAAAGTGGTCGATGATGAAAGCAAACTATCCTACCAAACTAGGATAATTCTCCTACCACCGAAACAACCTGAAATCAATTTGCTAACTCAAGCAGTTAGAACTTACAATAATTTCACCTTTATTATTTGATTAAAAAAACTTTCCATTTTTACTGGAGACTCGGAATAAACCGATGCAGACAACTAAATTAATTACTAACAGTTCCTGTTTACGCTTTCACCGAACTACAGATAAAATTGAGACTATTTCAATGGGGGGAAACGCTTCAATTCAAAGACCAGAAAACTCCAAACTAGAAAAGAAAAGAAAAACCGGCAAAATCCAACAGAAAAGCAATTCGTGACACCCGTGAGACCAACTTCAGCTCACGACTACCTACCGCCGAAACAATTCCCAAAGAATGTAACTCTGAGTCTCCGACTCCCCCATGAACAGGCTCAACCAAAAGAATTCTTTCACAAGTCTAAAGTTACTGTAAATTCCTTCAAAAACAGCACCACTTTCTTACTAAAGTAATATAAAATTACATACCAGTTCTACAGCAGGACACGCAACTATCGTTTCACCAGTAAGGTGGGAACCACCGACGAGTATAATAGAAGGGGAAAAGAAGTAGGCCTCAACACTTCGAGTTCACAATTTCACGCCCCGCGACTTGGCAATCCACCGTGAGGAGGAAGAAGGGGAAAGGGGGGAAATAAAGGCAGGAAAACCAAAGGTACCAGACAGGGACCCCTACCTGCCTCCGGTGGTCGGCCTCCTTGAGCTTGGCCTCGATTTCCTCGGCGCTGGCCGGGCCGCCGCCGCCGCTGGCCCTGCCCTCGAGCAGCCTCCTCCTGATCCGCGGCGGCACCCTCGCGGCCGCCCCCTCCTCCGCCGGTATCTCCATCGCCACGGGCTCCCTCACCCCCATCACCGCACCGATCAGACTCCCTCGCCGATCGAACTCGCCGGCGAATCCCGCAAGAAATCGCCTCGCTTTCTCCTCCTCCTCCCTCCCTTGCTTGCGCCGCTGCTTTACTCCTCCACTTGTTTCTCCCTTATTTTTCCCCTCGCCTCTCGAGTTTAGTTTCTTCCGCGCCGTTCTGGGTGCGCCACGCGTAGCGCTATATAGGTGCGGTACCAGGTACTCTCCGGGGGAAGCGGTTTCCCGAATCGCAGAGCGGATCGGACGCTCGGGCCGGAGCCGAGACGGATAGGGAGGGGCGTTTTGGTAATTTTCGGGGCGTTAGGCGCTTCGGGACGGTTCGGCGGTTGGGTCGCGCCCTTTTTCGGGGCGTTGGGTTGACCGAATTGCCCTCCCGGCGGCTTTGCTTCTCCGTGTCCGGGTTCAGACAAGTTTGATTTGAGTTCCACTAGAAAAATAGAGAAGGTTTGATTTGAGTTCCACTAGAAAATTAAGAAAGGTTTGATATGAGTTCGACTCGGAAATGTGATCCAGAAGTTCGGTTATCGGAGCATGCATACGCGTATGAGACTGTTTTCAATGGTTTTCTTAGCATATTACAATCGAAGCATGCATATGCATTTTACTTCCCAGTTCGGTCAAGTTTGATACGAGTTAAAGCTCAAAAAAAAGTTTGATACGAGTTCAACTAGGAAAAAGAAGTTAGCTTTGAGTTTGACTTGAAAATGTGATTAAGAAGTTTGATCATATAGTATATATCTTTAGGGACCGCTTTTGTGTTGACCAACATTAAGATTGAAATAGTCAATATAAGCTATCTTTGCGATAAAATAACATTGCAGTATTACAGCTTCACATTGCTGATTGTACAACTAGAAATGTGAATTACCATCCTAAAAACAGGGGCCGATACATAGTTTCTTTCATTAAAAAGTGACAATGTTTTGTTTCAGCCGATTGATCCAACGCACCGAGGCATCGATCGCACACTCATCCGATGGATAGCAACCCCGCAAAGGACAGCATTGTAACTTGACCAACTTAATCGCCCGTATATCCATGAATACTCTTGACCAGTCGATCTTGTCGGCAACCTCCTCCCTATGCTATGCTACAAGCGGAGACACCATTGTTGCAAGCCACACATGACTGGCACAACATGAGGGCGTCCTCATTGTAAGATGGGCATCGGAGGTGTAGGTCGGGCGCTGCATACACACTGCTACATGTCAGGTTGCTGGTGCTGCTCTGCAAGTCCAAACACGAACTGCTATAAGGGGAGACCATTGGTGTTTCAAGATAACATTGTCGGTATTGTTGGAAGTTGGGCGCTCAGTGCTACTGTGGCCCAACCACGCCATGTTGCAAGGGGAGGGAGAGTGGCCATAGGGATTGGGGTGGCTGCTTGTGCTACGCCGAGCTATGACCACTAACACTATCGGACCGACGACGTCGTGCTGTGAGGGGGACGAAACCAGTGTGTAGGGCAGCAATGTCGGGGCTGCAAGCGACCAACCGCCACTACAAGTTGTTGTCGCTGCTGCAAGCCACCACCATTTGCTGTGAGAGGGGAGGTGTATGTTGCAAGGGTGGGAGGAGGAGAAGAGAGGGACGGTGAGGTTGATTAGATGGTCGAGGCGCAAGATAGCAAATGGGTGGAGGAGACCGATCACTCCTAGATACCGGTCATACTCTTTAGGTTGTTGACCCCGGAAAAAAATTGTCCCCATTTTTCTTGTGAGTTTCTATATAGAAAGAGACCGGTAACAAGTGAATCATTCTTGTTAAAGTAAAATGCATTAAAGATTGTTGAATTTGTCCAACTAATTAAACCAAGCCACAAAAAACTATGCCCACTGCCCCTCGTTCTGGGACACATCATAGGCTCTTTTTTTTGGTTGGTGGATTGTGTTACGTCGAGCGTATATTTATATCTACACTATAATAATAGCCACAAAAGCGATTAAAATGAATCAAAAAACACTATAATAAAATTGATAAAAGATAACAAGCCAACGCATAAGTTTTTACTACAAGTTCACTTCAGTGAGGAATAACTCAGTTATCTATAATTGTTAAAGTAAACTAGATGGTATCCTCGTGTTGCCATGGGAATTGCTTCTAATATATTCTGATTACATTTGGTTAGATGGATATAAATATATTAATTGGTAATATAAGAACTAGAACATAAACTACATAAGATTTTTATAATTATAAATATTTATTGCATATAAGTAACATAATATGATTAAATTATTGAAGTATTTTTATATGCATGGTTGTATGTTGAGTCTTGCCATTTTCCATTAATGATTGAATGTTAAGGTGACATAGTAGCATGTTGAGATAAAACTAGTGGTGGCGGGCCTCTTGAGAGAAAGTTGTGCATGTATTTCTTCCTCTCGAAGAAAAAACCTCAACTTCATCTTAAAATTAAAAATAAAACTTTCTCACAACATGTGAACATTGCATGCATCTCAAAAAGAAAACGGAAAAGCCTAAAAACGTTCTTAAAATGAAAAAGAAACAAAATTCTCACTTTCATCTTTCAAAAATAATCTCAAAAAAAACTTTTCTCAAAAGAAAAAATGGACTTAATTTCATCTTCCAAAAAAATCAAAAAGTTCATCAATTTCATCTACCAAAAAAATCAAAATGTTTTTTGCCATGGTCAACCAGCATGCGCCACGTGGCCGTGCTGGTTGGCCGCAATTCGCCTGTAGCTTAATGTGTTTGATATGTTAGTGAAGACCACTCACTTAGTTACATAGGATTAGATTATTAATGTATTCAATAGAATAGAGTTTGTAATGTACTCTAGATAAATCTCTAGATAGGATCAATAAAGCATACACCTAACTACACAAAATCTCATTGGCTCACACGATATCAACTGCAAAATCCTAGACCTAGCTCGACCTCAGCTTTCACGTCAGGTTGCCACCGAGGAGATTGATCTCCTTTAGGAGATGTGCATGAGTGCATCCCATACCTAGGGTTCATCCGCATGTCACCTTGATCGGATGTCTAGAGAGTTTTTCCCATTAGTAGATCAGGTTCTTTCCCATGGTGTCTCTGTTTGGACTTCTGATTTAAGATATGTTTGAGTTTGCCTACCGTCTATCAACCCTTCGTGTTGTACGTTGGCCACCTCCACTTCTATGCGCCATGGCGAGGCATGTGGGGATGCATGCCTACGCCACCTCCCAGTTGCTTCGCATGTCCGTCATTCTATGTCGGTTTATCATCAACATCATCGATCACCACCATCCACTTCGCCCTTGCCACATGACAAGTCAGATCAGCTATTCACATGCCCCACCGTAGGATCCCATTAAGGTCAGGGCATATCTAGTATGTGCGCATCTCCGCAACTTGAGCAACAGGTTGTCGCCTCATTAGCCCTTCAGGCCAATATATCATGGCAGTTGTCTTCGCTTCCGACACCGACATGCCTTCTCATTCACGTAGGTTGTTTTTGGCCTCTCATCTCGTTGCTCTGACTCACAAGCTGCAGCTACATCGCCCATTCGGGTCATATTGGTGCCGAACACGATCCTCCTTGTTGTTCCCGTGCACCGGCGTATACCTTAGCACGTGTTGTGTCACCTTCTGTGCATGGTCTTTGTCACGCCGCCGGGCTCTCCCTCACCTACTTCGAGCTTCATTCTTGCACTTCTACATGCAATCAACATGGCCCCTTCAAGCTACTGTTGGTTTTGCCTATGACACCTTCTTTGCCTTTATCTAGCTCAAACTTGTCGCAGCATCACTATCTCTTCCCCAACTACTTCGTCTACTCTAAAAATCGTGGGCTACATTGCACCTTCTAACCCCGCATGATACTGACAATACCAACGTGTACCTTCGTCCAAACATGTCTTCGGGCCTGGCAAACCCATGCGGCACCTATCTACCACACCTTTGATAGCATTTTCTTTGACATCAACACCCTCTCGACATCTCTCTCGGCCACGCCATCATCTCCCTCTTGGTACATCTCTGCGTCATTGACTCCATGTCGCTTCCTTGTGCCCACAACTACACATGTGGCTACCTCAACATTGGCTACTCCGACCTCGACATCAACCATGGGGTTCACTTGCATGGCTCCATCTTCCTATGTTTTCGGCTACCTCAACATCAGCACAAAGAGCTATTACCTCGTGTGGCCACCTCGCCGGCTTCCTATATAGTCCAGGTGTTCGTGATGCAACATCATCCATGATACTCCCGCTACGACCGTGGGGGTGTGTCAACTCGTTGGTTTTCTGCTTTCGGTTGTTTTCTGGTATGACCATCTACGATGCCCATATTGTTTGCGAAGGTAGCTACTACTACGATTGCGGAGGATGTTAGGGGAGAGGATCTGTAGCACGCAGGTGCGGGGCCATGCAACCCCCCTTTTTTTGGCTTTTGATTTTTTAATCTTTCATATGTTTTGAACCAAAGTCCCAAATTAAATTGTGTTTGCATATTCGTGTTTCTGGTGACGAGGGTTTTCAAATGAGATCCATTTCGAATACATTTGTCAAGTTTGTTTTAAAATTTTCATTAAGTTCTGACTTCTGAAACTCGGTACAAGCGACCGACAAAATCGTGAGTTTCAGATCCCGCGACAAAAAAATGTTTCAACTTCTGAAACTTGGTAGAGAGTGACCGACAAAAAGTTTCAGAACCCGCGACTGACAAAAACACAAGTTTCAAAACTAACCTTAAAACTTATTGTGTCCTCGTGTAGGATCCAACAACTTTACAAATCGCGAAGTGATCGGGGCGGCTGGCGTGGCTGGGCAGGTGCGTGTCCTGCGATTTTCGAGGGTGTTAGAGTATATATAGACCCATCTTTGCATTCGGTGAAATATAATTTGTACTCCATCTCCTACCTTTGGGATAGGTTTCTGCCTTCCAAACCAAATAATGCTCTAGACCATTCGAGAGGCTCAATACAACACATGTCTCGCTGCGAAAGTCCTCTTTTGATCTCGAGCTCATGTGCTCCC